CTCTGCTTATTTAATGATGATTGTAATAACGGGATTGATCTAAATATTTAAATAGAAGCAAAATAAAGCAGTTAAATCGCATGGTTATATTACAAAGATACGAAAATAAGTAAAAAATATACTGTACCATCTTCTTGTACTACTTCTTAACAATGCAAGATCATGTAGCGTGTGTCTCTAACAGAGTCTACACCCACCCCCAGCATCACCATGGTTGGAGCAAATTTTCAGAATAGGGACATATAGATTTTTTTAGATGTACATTTCTTCCACATTGGGGCCTAGGATAGGTTAAGGGTTGTGCAAAACATATATGTCATGTATTGTTTTGACTCCTTTCTTCATTTTGCAGGTTCAGTATTATTTTCTTACTACCAGCACCTTCCACAGCGCCCTTGATGACTAAGGGCCTTCTTCTTGTGCCACACCGATTTTAAAACGTCTTCGGGTGTTTGAGAAGTCATCGATAAGAAATACGAAATGTCAGCATTTGATCTTTAAATCATGTTAAAAACAATAGGTTCTGCACATGATTCGATACAAGTTTTCAAAATGTACTTTGCGATTTAAAAAATCAGGGCTTTTTTCACAAATATGAATGAAGACTTTATGCTATTATAATAAAAGCAGCTACTTTTCTACTAGCTTACTCCGATGCATACTGTTTTATTAATGCATTTTAATTATTTATTTAAATTAAGTTTCATTTTCTGGTTTTTAACATTGCATATATAATTTACTGTTTATTAAAGTACATTTTCTTAAATTTTTGCATGACAAACATTGGGTTATTTTTTATAGACTTAGTAAATCAATACAAGTTTGCATATTGAAATGCTTTGTGTTGGGTTTTGTAACTTTTTGATATTTGCAGACCCATTTAATTTACCTTGGCAGATCTACGTATTTTGTGTGTATGTATTGTATATAAATTGAGTGTAATAAATAATTTTATCTGTAAAATACATTTGTTTAGTATAATAATAATAGTATGCAGTAATGTGATATTAAGTGCCTCTAATACGATACGATACGATATTCTTTATTGTCATTTGAACAACAGGGTACAAATGAAATTCAAGTGATTGATCAAGGTACAATTTCAGAGAGGAATAAACAAAAAAGTAAACTAACAAAGAACTCCAAAGAGACATGTTCAAATAACTTAAATCTAATGAATCATATTGAATTTATTGAATCTTAATGAATCTTATTGAATCTTATTGGTGGGTGTGGAGTCAGGATCAGGAAAGACATCACCATGACCCTCCGGCTACATGAATAGGGGATAGCGCTGCCCTGAATCTGCAAAAACAGCCAGAAACTAGAAAATAGTCACAGAGACAGAAAACAGCTAACTGTCTGCCGGTGGATCACAGTTTGTCTCCATATCTCCTGAAAAGTCCCCACCCACCAATAAGAGACAGCAACATTTCCAGAAATGACTATCTGCTGAAATGTTTATTGAAGACATGAATGGAATTATGAACAAAAGATCGTCTACAACGTTTAGTGTTTTGATTTAAGGTGATTAGTCTGCCAGTTCGGCTTTGCTTATAGTACTTATTTAATGGGTGATCAGGATTCTCGCAGATTTTTTTTAACTGTGCGGAGTATGTCCATTTCATGTAACTCATCCAAATTATCAGGATTTTCCCCAGTAATTTTGCTGGCCCACTTTACTATTTTTAATAATAAATGCTGCACGTAAGTACTGCTCATGAATAAGTACGTCCCTGCACCCACAGCCATGAAAACATCGAAAATGTGTATCAAATATGAAACGATTTGCATGTTTTTATTATGCCTGCCGTCTCCATCATATCTCAATAGAAAAACTTGATTTCGTCCTGATAAATGCTAATTGTTCATCATCGTTATAATAAAAGGCGTCCTATTACACTTTCAGTGTATTTTATTATAAAAGTAGTTCTAGATTTTATTTTCTCCGGGTTTAACAAACAGAGGCTGTATAGCTATAAAGGTGTAGTTGAATTCGAAGCCTATGTGCACTCCTTCCATTTAATGTCATTTTATCGACTGCATTGACCAATGAGGAACGGTTGATAATCGATTACGAGGGCTTCTCCAAAGTGGAATGTGAACACAATACCGTAGCGTGTTATTACTACTGTAATTTAATTCGAATTCTAGTACCATTTTACTTTATCATTTCAGAGTATTTAAATGCAGTTTGTAGAGTCCGGCTGTGGAACATTTTAGGGTCGTTACAGATTATATCAAGGACGCACGTAGCAGTGCTGCGTCAGTGGGTGTCGGAGAGGTACTCTCGGCAGATAGGCCTACCCCATTCCCTCTCCACGGTAGCCCGGACCAAACAAAAAATAGTGGTATCCCTGCAGGATTTTAGCTCTCATTTGTAATTCATTCTATTCTGGAAACACTCTATTGAGAAGAGAATTTCAGAAAGGTCAAATGCAAGATTTTATAAATGATGAAAAAATGACGTCTAATTCGGACGAATAATTTGACATAACAATACATGGCCAGCTTCAGGTGTTCTATCACATTTTAACAAAAACACGTGGCATGCCTAAATATGGTCATGATGACATCACATGACCATATATGCACATTGTGACTATATATGGGCTTATAACAGTGTTTTGTCAAAGAATTGGATAGTGTGGATAGAGCTTTAAGCCCTTTGGATGAAGTCCACTAGAACACTCCAGACCCGCAGAGAACCGACATTAGAAATACAGAAATATCCCGACTGACCCTTGGGCTACACAACCATTGTTTGGCTTTATCATCATTGCTTTCACAAATTATATGTTGGGATGTATTCAATATTATCAATGTAAATAAATAACGGTTTTCTCTGGTGATAAAGTCTTGTGTTTCCATGGATGTAATAAGTCAAACCTGTCAATTTAAACAACTTAAATAATTTCCTCTTTTAATATTTCATCAAAACTCTAACATGAATAATTCAACCAATAACAGCATAATTGACCAATCAGAACCGTTAATACTACCTTTTAATACATTGCTGCGTAAACCAGAATAAGTTGAGCAATCAGAACCGATAATTCTTTACTTAATGTAATGATTGATCCGTAAACCAATCAGAACCGCTAATACTTTACTTCCTAATACATTGCTGTGTAAGCCAGAACAAGTTGACCAATCAGAGTCGTTAATACTTGACTTTCGTAATTATATTACTGTGGAAGTCAGAGCAGACCCGACACTATTCTGGAAGCATCAGTTACATATTAAAAATTATAATACATTAACCGCAACCTGAATAGAAGAAAATGGCGTCACCAGCATACACAGCGTAAGTGTTAACAGCTATATTGTTTCTTTTATTATTGTTATTAAGTGTGCTTGTATGCGCATA